GTTAAAGGCATTTTCCTAGAAGTCCTAAAATCGAGTATTTCATATGCATAAAAATACTAATTCTTGCAAAAAAGTTGGTAAGACAAAGCAAAGAAAAATAATCTTTATATTTTTTTACCACTTATGCTAGACTAATTAATATTACTATTCAGTTTAATTAAAGCATATCTAGTTCGTCTGGGGGACTCTATCGGTTAAAAGAAAAAGTGTTCTTCAGTTATTCAAAGAATTGAAATATCAATGGAAATTTTGTACTTCATTTGTCCCAAATAGAGAACTCAAATTCTGTTCTTCAGCTCTCAAGAACTCAAAATTTGTCTTCAGATTTGGGAACCTGATTTTTTTTCGTTCTTTGAAAATTGAAGAACAAATTTTGAGTTCTTGAGAGCTGAAGAACAGAATTTGAGTTCTCTATTTGGGACAAATGAAGTACGAAATTCCCATTGATATTACAGTTCTTTGAAAAACTGAAGAACACCTTTTTTTAGAGTGTACTTGGCTTCAAGTACATTCACTATTCACTAGGGATAAAATCTTGTAGGATCTCATAAGAGTAGCTTGGAACCGGAAATGGTGTAGGATTTCGTAGGAATTCTGTATAAGATTTGGTAGGATTCATATTGAATTTTACTTAAATTTGACACTTCCACGCTTTTCCATAAGAGGATTTTTTGATCTGGGACCGAGAAAACCATCAAAAACGTCTACTTTTCGAAAAGAATTTCGACTAACAAATACTTCCTAAGATGCATTTACAAAACTCAACGATCAGTGAATTTTATAATCAGAATATATTGAAAAATCGGCAAGATTCCGATAATTGGTATATTTCTCTGTATAATTAAGAAAACAGCGGTTTTGAAATGTGTTCTTGTTAGTTGTTTTAGTGTCATCAATCGATATCTGTCCGGAAATTATTAACGAATATCACTCACTTATGCTCACACACAATAGCAAATATAAGATGATATTTTTTCTTTTGTTTACGTTCTCTAATCTTTATGCTAGATTAAAGACATATTATAGCTTTCTCATTTTCAAGACCTGTACTTTTACTTTTTATTTTTGGCGACTGAAAGGTTGGAAACTCGAATGTATCTGTTTCAAATTTCACGAAGTTGATGGCATCCGAAAAATAGATAAATAGATAACGAGACTTTGAATCTAAACTTTAAACTCTTTTTTTTTAATATGATCTAGAAAAAGAACAGCAAACATCTATACAAAATACAGCACATATAGATATAGACATGACAATACGTACATTTTCTTTTCATTTACATTGTCCGCAGTCTTTTACAATCTTTTTGCAAAAAACATCACGCGATAATAACAGAAATAATACACAGATATGCAAAAAGTCAAGCACAGGTACAGGTATTGTACAAAACATATCTAGCAGTAAAAAATCAAACTTTTCGTTTTTATTATAACTGACAGAACCGAATTAGGTACTAATCTATGAGAGTATCTGTGAAATCATATATAATAGTGGAAATCTGAGACGTTCTTGATAATATTATTTATAGGTGTAAACACAAAGTAGAAGTACAATCTATATACTGTACAGTTAAAACAACTTTCTAAAAAAATGCTCAAATTAAATTTAAAATAAAAAATCAACTGACTTCACATATTATGTGACAGAATAGTTTCAAATTCAATAAAATATCAAAGTGATATTTTTCTCTTTTCATAAAAAGAATATATATGCCCTTTTAATATATTCACCTATTATGCTCATTAACAGATATCGGCATTTAATCTGTACATCAGATCCACGACGTGCAATGAAGTGTCGTGTCTACTGTATCTAGATAGAGATTATGTAATCTTTTTTACTATAACAATCGGAAAAAAAAACAGCTAGAAGATGAAGAAAGAACAGAGAAAATCAAAACAGAAACTATTATTAAAAATATTAGTCGACACATTTTCTTCTCTCAACATAACGTCATGTACAAGTGAATATGTATTTGCACTCACATTATGGAAAACTACACGTTTTTGATGTGCCTAAAACTAGTTTCATCTAAGATAGTTAAACCATCTGGTTTTGCTTTCTAATACTGCTTCTGAATGAAACATTAAGGGATAAAGAAATAAAGAGGTATCAGTGTATGTTCGATTTGAATTTCGAGTTATGATGCTTGTTTCAATTCATTTTTTTTATTCAAATAATAAAATAAACGATTGATTATTCTGTAATTATATTGAGGCTAGATGGATACTTATTACTCAGGAAAACGTATGGATAAATGAGATAATTTGTAGCGCAAAAGCGAGCACTTAAATGCACTGATATGACATATTTAGATAAAACATCTAACAATGTTCAATATACCATTCAATAATTGGAAACTGGGATACAAGGAAAGACCGACCAGTTTTAGTGATGCGCTAAAAAAACTAGCCGAACAAGGCGAAGGAAAACGGAAAACTGAAATTGTGCCAATGCCTCTTTTACCACCACAGCTACAATCATCGGATACAACAAACGTTCAAAATAGAGATCAAACCGTTCATCTTTTTTCGCAATACTTGAATGAAGTAAGATTTTAATGCTTTCATCTCATCATTTCACATTTTTATCACTGAAACTGTCGAGTGTGGAGAAAAAATACAATATGTCTTGTGATTGTAGCTGAACAAAAGAGAAGATAGTCGACGAATCTATGGAATACACAGTGATACAACAAATGATTTATTCAATTTTATGTTGATAAATAGGTGAGTTGTAGACATTAGTCTTATCGTATGTACCTCTCAAGTATTTCTGATATTTTTCCAAAGACGTATTGATCCACTTTATCCATATCGATCTGCAAACCACTTTTATCAAACTGGTTTACTGCCATACCTGTTGCTACGTTCACACTGGGATATGATGTCAAGGTAATAACGCCTTTTTTTTGGAGTTGATTCAGTATGTTAAATTGAAGTCATCATTTAGAGATCCTTTAGCAACAACCGTAATTGAAAAGAATGCAGAAAATAAAGAAGAAAAGACAGAAACAATCAGATCAATGACGTCTGAGGTATTGTACATTGTATGATATTATCCATCTAGTCAGAATTTTATTTAGCGGAAAATGTCAGCAACTGGTTTGTGTTCAATTTCTAGATTCAAGAGTCAAATGTCACGAGAAACAGTAATTCATCAAAAGTCTGTGAGAGTGATCTGATTAAAACACAAATCAAATTAGAATCAAAGTTATTTAAACCGTACGAGTTGAATAGCTTTTCACTACCAAAACAGTCTATAAATTTTGAATCATGTAACACTACAGATATTCATGAATCGAATAAAAATAAAACGTTATCAAATATTCAACATCATTATAAAAATAATAAAGAATGTCGATTATTCGATTCACTAGGATTAATTTTAGAGAACAATAATGAATATAAACCTTTGGGCAACTTTTTAGTTAAACATTCAATAGAGCATGAACAACAGCTGAGTGATGATACATCAAATATTTATAATGCTCTCGATTTAGCCAACAATGTTAAAGAAGAACAGGAACAACGACACATTGAAAAAATTAATAAACCGCAAATCAAAAGAAATGAGCTGGATCGGAAGAGAAAAAGAATGAATTCAAAATTAGATAACAAGCATTTCAAAGCAGATTGTTTTAAACTTTAGTATTTTTTTTCTTTGTGTAGTTGTAGATTTTCTAGATATTGTGACTTATGAACAATGAACAGTGTACTATCCATTGTATTGGTTTTTTTTATCAATTAAAACGCGTTTCACCGTTCTCACAGAAATAGCGTCTCAGAACATGTTTAAATGTAATCCAAGATTTATACTACTAAATTACTGAATAAATATAGTGAAAAATACGATTATGATCATCTAGTACACTCCGGAACGCGTTTATGTTTGTCATATTAGAATGTAGTGATATCTGAACGTGTGCGATGCAAAAAAATTCAAAGCTTCAGTATTTTCTGCATTAGTAAATGTGTCTCGTTTACTAATTCTATTGAAACATGCTTTGTAGCTAATTAGATTTATGGAAATACTTGTAAAAAATTTTTTAATTTACATTCAATTTCGACGAAAATTTCAGAAAACATATATGATGTTCTCAGAATAATTTTCGACTCTTTATTTCTACAATCGTTCGCAAAATTCGAGAAAACAAGAAGAAAACTATATCCTGCACATAACAAAGAGTTTTCTTCATCAGATCATAAGTGAAAAAATGTCGTGATGTTTTATTTTAAATCAAGATAAACATTCAATCTCATCCAATAAAGAAAGTAGACGTTTGGTTTTCACTTTATTTTTTGCGTTTAAAAGTTAAAAACTATTAAAACCCTCAAAAGCCTTTCAGAAGACTTGAACACCATCATTGGTAGAAGTTTTTTGTGTAAATTCCAAGATCATTTTTGTTTAACGGTGTTTTAGCTCTGATAATCGGCATCACCACGATTGATTACACATACTCCGACAGAAATTTGAAAACAAGATTCTTGATATTCTTAAGGGATATCATTGGGGAAAACGTTTTTGATTATTTCTTGATCGTTTCATGAATATGATGATACAGTTTTGTTCAAAACTATGATACATGAAGAGTCTCTATGATTCACATTTTTTATAGAACATTTCGGGCTATCTATGCAGGTAAAAAAACATATATTGCTATTTCAAACTTCAGATATCCGAACACCTTTTTCTCAATGTCTCTTCTTGTTTTTATGATAAAAGTGGTAGATTTTTGTGGATTTTTAGATTATTTTTTATTAAATTAGTTTAGGCAAGAGGTTGCTTATTTCATAATTTGTTTTGTCGTTGTTATTACTATTTCTAATAATCTCACCATTGCCAGTTTCGTAAACTTCTCTGAGTTCTACTAGCATTTAATAATGCAAGATGATTGATCATCATTTGACTATCACGATTGAGTTTGTGTTGTTTATGATATTGATAAAGTTGATAGATAAGTTTTAGTTTAAGGTTTCAATATTGTACGACTAATTGTTGAAATAAAGAATGTTTCAGGCTTTTTTATAGGCTCAATTATTGCTCCTTCATTTCAAATCATTCTACACGTCCACCTGTTTCTAATATTTTATTCCATTACAACGCTCTTTTCAACACATCGTTAAATGTTTCCTCAATATTCAGTGGAATCTCTTATGTTGGCTCGTCCTCTTTGTCTTGCACATTTTAGTAAATAACACAGATTAACCACGAAATACTTACGAAAATTTTTCTGGTGCGACCGCTGATGAAAATTTATGAACTGCGTAGCACACACGCATGAATTTTATAGGTTCATATACTCGTAAATATTTCCACGCATAATCACTAGTGAAATTTAAAAAAAAGAAATTAAATTAAACTAGAATGCAATTGTGCTGCGCACAAGTAGCGATATGGACAGACACTGATCATATTAATAGAGACAGCAAGATCATTAAAAAAGCGAAAAAACTTTATTCTTTTCGATGATTTATATTAGTAATAAGGTTTTAATTATAATTTAAAAGAAAAAAGAGAGAAAGAATTATATTTCGTCGCAAGAACAAATGACGCCGGACAATCAACTCTTATAAATGTACGAAAAGTTTCTAAATCCAAAAAACATTTTAGTTCTACTTGGTTTAAGTTATTTTTATTTGAGAAAATATAAACTATAGAGCTCTAGTATTACTAATTCAACATTGTCATTATATAGTAGACACGAGGTCTGCGATATACAAAGAAGACAGCCTCGAAGTTCTACTTGTGTAGCATATGGCGCTGAATCTGGACTTATGTATGAAAAAAGAATGTGCACTTATCAATCTGCAGTATCCGGAGACTATGCTCCGCTTTCAAAAGTTTTCTACTATTAGCGTACCTCGCTAGATCACATTGTGCACATTTTGTAAAAAAGTTTATTAAACAAAAAAAAAAAAAAAAATCCCTGCAAAAACACATAATGTCTGTCGAAATAATTATAAAACGTTCGCGCGCGGGAGGCACGTTTTGATGTTGTAAATGCATGATCTCGATATCATGAAGTTTCAATAAAATTTTCCCATGGAGTAATTGTAGAATAAATCAAAATCAGAATAAATAAAATTTCAATTTGTTTGTTTACTTCTGTCATCGTCTGACTAAACAATTCGATTCCAACCAATCAAATCAATTAGAAGATAATTCACTAATAAAAACAGTATGAATTTGACAAAATAGAATTTTTCTCATTCATATTGATCGACGAATCAGATATTAATATCTAAGTTGAATGAACACGACAATATGAGAATCTGGATCTATTAAAAAAATGTATTCCGTTCACTTAGACATACTTAAATTTTGACTATTCTTTCCCCCTATGTTTCGTTAAAATTCAAAAACACAATTTGAGAAAACAAAAACGAGATATATTAAAACACATGGAGATAGAGAAAATATACGCTAAAATATCAAAAAAGAAAAATACTGATGATAAGTTTTAGATTCCAAAAAAAGTTCTTTTTACATCAACAAAAACGAAGTGTAAAAATAAAAAATAATCAACTCGCTTGACTATAATAGAAAAAATAAAAAATAATAAACTTCTCTGATTAAAATAAAAACCTGATATTTGTTTTTCACGTTTATTGTTGATTTGTTTGAAATTCAGGATGATTTCCAAGATTATCAGTTAATTGTTTAGGCTTAATTTTTTGATCACAAATTAAATGTGCTAAACAAAAAATATAAAGTTTCTCAGAGTATCAGTTAAAAGTTATTCAACGTGACAATGAACACAATACGTACAAGAAAAGTAATTTTTTTTTCTCTCATAAACTTACCATCTCTCAGTAATGGAAAACGATCTAATAAATTTTTGTTTTTCAATATACGATAAACTTCTTCAGCTGTTCCTACAAGTTAATCAAAACGTATATCTTAAATGCATAAAAAATATATATATTTTAGAAATAAACAACAATTTACCTGGTCCTTGTAATGATTGTCCATTCAAATCTTCTTCTTCAATTTCTTTCAATGATTTATTAGTTTGAACAAATTTTTTAGCTGAATCATAATTTCTACCACCAAGACTACTGGCAACTAAATCAGCCATACCACATGATTCCAAATAGATTTCATAGGATGACTCTTTATGATATAAACGACAAAATTCAATCATTTCTCGTAAACCTAAACGGAGGATAGCGGCACGAGTATTAAATCCACATTCTAAACCTAAATAAAAACAAAATATTTTCTAAATTGAATAATGACAACTATAGATTTTCAACAGTATACCTTCACTAAATCCAGCTATCATAGCAATGATATTTTTTAATGCACCTAACATTTCAATTATTTCAACATCGGGAAAAAATCGTAAACGAAATTTGTCTGAATCAATTAAACTTTTTATAATAGTACTATGTTCTTTATTTTTTGTACCAATTGTTGCTTCACAAAATACCTTCGCTGCCACTTCTTTAGCAATATTAGCTAAAACATATTAAAATCATAGGTGATAGACATTAAGTTTTATTCAGTTGTACTTACCTCCCATCATTGTTAAACAGTCAATATTCAATGTATTTTTAATAACTTCTGATATTAATAATATATCGTTTGTTTTGTCATCAACATAAAATCCTGAAAAATATTAGAAAAACATGAATTAATCGATCACTTTATATAATCTATGTCTTTCTGTTGACTATATACCTTTAATTAATGATAAAGCGAATGCATTTTGTTTAATATTTCCTTTCATTTCTTCACATGTCTTTTTTAGAAATTGATGTGGTACAACGAATACAAGTATATCAGCATCTTTAACTGCTTCTTTCAAATCTGGTATAGCAACAACATTATCACTAATTTTGTGATCTGGTAAATATTTTTTATTCTCATGTGTACGATTAATCAATTCTGTTATTTTTTCACCATCAACATCTTCTTCTTTACACCACATAGAAATTTTCTCTTCAAATTGATCTTTGCCACTTGAGCGAACTTTTTCACCGATATGAGATGCAATTGCTGAACCCCTAGATAGGACAAGCCATACAAAATAATTATTAGAAGAATTGAAGGATTGAAGAATGTGACGTACCAATTTCCAGAACCAACAATAGCTACCTGAAGCTTTTTCTTATTATCAGCACTTGTTTTGGAACTCATTGTAAAATGACGAGCGAATAAAAAATAAGTAAAATCTGAATAAAAATGTCGAATATCGATCAGATTTTGTGTTCTGATGTCGTACAGTTAGGTAACAGAGAACAAAATATGCAAAGTAACGTAAAAACTAAGCCTTTTTTGAACCATATCTATTAAATATCGTCTCGTTTGTGCTATTTACCTCTAACAGTACGGTGATTGCTATTATCAAAAATAAATAAATTTCTCGTCATGCGTATACTGCATCTGAGAAAACGTGTGACCATCTACAATGATGCACATAAAGACAAACGTCCTATAACCAAAAATTGTTTTTTGTCTCTGTATCAGAGCTGCCAGATGGTCTGCATAATGCCGCTTTCTGTAGTTTTTTCCGCAATTTGTCCGCTTTTCGAGGATATTTTTGTTTTTGTCCTTTTTCCTGCAATGAAGACTTTTACATGTTCTCATAAAAAATTTGCCGCCTTCGGCAGCTGAATGACCTGTCAAAACAATGCTTTTGTAACTTTTAGAAAACAGATGCCCACTGTTTTGAGAACTAAATTAAAAATTTGCCCCAGGAGTAGAGTCTTGTGGGTTTGAAATCCAACCCCGATCCGGTCTCATAGATCTGAAATCTGTCCCGAACCCGAATCCGAACCCGCCAGAACTTTTTCGGAATCCCGATCTCAATTTTTTCAAATAAAACCCGTCCGGAACCCGCCCGAATCCGAAATATTTTTTTCTAGTGAAGTAGTGCTCTCTTTCATTTTAACATTAGTAAACTTCTACTCGTAGAGGTACAAAAATTCACTTGGTCGGTTGTATGTCTAGTGCGAAACACCTATCCGTTTTCCTTATTTTCCATTCTTTTTTATTTATTTAGAATTGTCTCGTATCTCCCCCTATATCAAACTAGAAGAATCGGAATCGGAAACAAACCCATACCTAACTCGAACCCAAACCCGCAGGTTCGGGTTCGCAATTGAGATCGGGTTAAACCCGCAGGACTCTACCCGGAAGTGAGAACTAACAGAAAAACATTAGCTCATCTCAAGTGCTGCTGAAAGAGAGTGTGACAAGTAGTGAGATACTGAATCTTCAAGGAAGCCAACTCGGTCAGAAAATCTTAACCATTAAGTTCTGTCGTAGGCGAGACACTTTCGAATTAAATTTTATCCTGCCGTACATAACTCTTGAAATTTATGACAGCTGGTCAAAAACGCGCATTCACAAAAAGCCAATATAGATTCCAATTGGGAGTTAAATGATGTTTTGTACTTCTTTTGTGTTTCTTAAGTGGAACCACCATAAAGCGCTAGAAATTTTTCTTTTATATCCTTTGCATTTGGTGAAAAATGCGTTTCCGCTTTTTTCCCGCATTTTCGAAAGAATTTTTGCTTTTTTCCGTTTTCTCGACTTTTTATCCCGCTTTTCTGACCTAAGCACCTCTGCTCTGCTCGAGAAGAGAAAACAGTGGTCATCATACAATGAAGACCGTACAGTCTTAACATAGCTAAAAGGTCACTACATTAATTAATATACTCCTATACTCCAATGCGACATTTTTTCACTAAATCGCATCTCAGACAATCACACCTTTTCTGATTTTTACAAAAAAAAGGCAAACCACAATGAAATAAAGATCATTTGTTTGCTTACCAGGGAAGATCTTTAGATGCCCAACTCCGTTTCCGATGATATTATGCCAGTTGATAGAGGAACGTGAGCTGACAAAAACCCTAAAAGGATTTGGGCCCATATTACTTCTTTCAAAAGTTATGATTTTTTTTGTTCTAAAGAAACATTGTGTGCAGTAACAGTAAACATTCTGTAACCCAGTCAAAACAAAGAATCAAGAGCGAAAATTTTCCAACTGTATCTGTGCTAATAGTCTGCTAATATTACAGAAAATTTGAGCGTTATATCTTTCTAAATTCGACAGTTATTGAATTTTTCTTCTCGAAGGCAACCAATGTTTTTTCAAACGGCACAATTTTCAATGATACCGTTTCTTTTTATTAGAGGTGATATTACATGCATTTTTCCTGTTGAAAACGTTCTGTTACAGGAAGAAAAGAAAGAAGGTAATTAGCTTTGTCAGGTGCGTGCTTTCCCATTTGTGAGACAAAGGGAAACCAGAGAGCCAACGACCATGCGAGAAGATTAGAAACTCGACTTTTTTTTCAGAAAGATGATGTTCGAGGGAGGGTTACAGAATGTTTACTGTTACTGCACGCAATGTTTCTTTAGAACAAAAAAATCATAACTTTTGAAAGAAGTAATATGAGCTCAAATCCTTTTAGGGTTTTTGTCAGCTCACGTTCCTCTATCAATTGGCATAATATTATTGGAAACGGAGTTGAGCATCTGAAGATCTTTCTTCGTTAGGGATCGTTTATAATCAATACATAGAGAAATTGAGTATAAACTTTTGAACAAAAACACCTCTGTTTGTTTGTTTCATACCAATCTCATGAAAATGTCGCATTAGGATATAACTACGGTTATAACTAGTATAACTAACGTGGCAGTATTTACAGAAAAATTGTTAATGATGATTGCAATCCAAACGTAAATAACATTGAACGCAAAGGATCATTGTTAGATCATAAGACCTAAGAAGATAATATAACATTATTTTTCAAAATAATCAAATACACGGTTCTGTACGTAATGCTTTGTTTCTTTCCGATATAAGTACAAATATTCCATCTTGACTTTGATGCACAAACCTAGCTACTTTATATTTATTAAATCACAGGTGTACAGAGTCAGGACATCTCAGTAGGAGACATCTCATTTTATTCAGAAAGGACTCAGGTAATATTCATCGTACAAGATTTTTCCTTTTCTTATGAAATCTTGTATCAAGCCCATGTGAGATCTTGTTGACGTAAGATCTTACAAGACGCAGTTATAAGGAACCAGATGTTACAAAATCTTGTAAAACCTGACGAGTGAGGAACAAAACATTTATTTCTTAAAAGTTCTTAAGACTTTTTATCTCAAAGTCTTCTACAGTAAGAACTTGCAAGTTTCTGTAACTTCAAATAAAAAACTATTATGGGATCTTCCAGGATTCTTCTAACAACTAAACTTATGAAATATTGCAAGATCTTACAGGAAATTTGTCATATCCACATCCCTGTCTAGCACAAGAAAACACTATAGAAACGGGATGTATTCAGATTGAAAGAGACTAATGTTACATCAAATTTTGATTTTATTTTTCAAAAATGCAAGTCAATTTATCTAATTAATGTACAAAGAACAAAATAAAAACAATAACAAGATCAATGATGAAGCGAAAAAATATAAAATGACAACAATTTTTCCACACAAAAGTTCAAAATATACGTTAAAAGATTTTGAATATTTTGTTAAGTAAGATCGTTTCTCCACAGTTTTGAATATCAATAACAACAATATCAGAAATATTGCATCTCTGCAAAAAATTACAATGACAGAATACAGACTGTTTTTTTTAACAGGAGAAAAGATACAGACAAATTTGATATCACACAATACATGTAATAGTCCACTATCTTAACGATGTTGTTGTTCGTCTATGATTTGTTAATGTTCTTCTGAAACTGTTAAACGTGATACCTTTTAATGCAAACGTATAAAATATCATTACCAACAATAATACATAGCCAGCTACCAGCGAAATAGCATACGTTGGCGTTTTGGATCGATTTGATAATGTCTGAAAATGCAAGAAAAGGAGACATGTATGATAGAAGACACAAATAAGATGAGAGAATTTACTTACGAGACATGAAAAAAGCATATGCGCTAGAAGAACAACAATTGGTCCAGCAAATCGATGAATACCAATTTTATCTAATGATGTGAACATTACAACACCCCAACATGTATGCAATAAGATAATTACCAACGTCAAAAAGGCTAAAAATAGATAAGATAAATAATCAGGAAATCTGGTCAACTCTTTGTGTTTCCAACCTGTAGCCAGGAAAAAATCTTGTGAATGACCAGAAATACCAATTGTACCAGGTCCAGCCATATCTGACAAAACGTTAACAATTGCAAATGCCCCACTAATTAAACCGTATCCATAACCAGATGCTAAGATGAATCAGACAACATAAGTAGCTTCATCTCTTCATCCTACACCCTCAATGGTAAAGAAAGAAGACAAAATCTGTACACTACTGTACCGTATGCGACAGCAAATCTATCGAATATCATTCCTTTTTCTGCCAATTCTTGTAAGCGAACAGATTGTAACGCTGTTTCAGCTCGTCTACAAATTAGCAAAATCTTATTGATAAAAAAAGACAGTAAAACGAAGAAAAACTTACTTGATCACTAAATAGAATAAATATCGAAAGAATTCTTGAAAGATAACAGAGAATGGTACAGCGAATGCCAGTTCACTGCGTAGTGGTACAACAGCAAACCATAGCATAGACGATACTAATAGTGATAACAGCCAAAAAAATGCGCTAAAACAAAAAATCAATTAAGTTTTAGTGTTAAAATAGGAAAGAGACGTAAAGAACAATCAACCTTGTCATGGAAATGATAATTCGAAATGGATGCCTGGCAATTGTGAATACCAACATTGAAAATGGAATACCAAATGCAATCAAAGCACAACCAGTGCATTCCATTACCGTCATTTTGGAAAATATAGAAAAACAATACGAGAAATGGAATCTGAAAAAGTCAAAAACTGATTATTACAACTGACGTTACATCAGCTATAAAGAATACTAGCTAGAACAGAATCTCGTATTTTTAATAGCAAAAATCTTGGGAATATTGTGAGAGAAAGACTGTGTACTCATTGATCTGTTTCTCACAATAGAATGGATATTATACTCTAATTTCAAGAGAGATTTTGCCCCCGTAGTCAAATAAAACTATAGTTCTTTTCTTCAAAACAGAATTAATTATCAGAGTTTAGCAACAAAAAAAGACCGTCATTTATGTATTTGAATTTAAGTACAATATAAAAACAAACAAACAAAACGTTGAATGTTCTGGTTTTACCAGAACAAGGAAAAAATTTCTATTATAATAATTTAACAAGAAAATTTCAGTTTATCTTTGGTAGTGTTTCAACAATCATACCTTGTTGTTCAACTATTTGTGTCATTCTTTCAAACCACGGTTGAATGTCCGTGTTATTTAATAGATCTTCAAATGCTTGAGTCCCTTTTATGGATGTTAAAATACCATAACAACTAATATCAGCTAAATTTGGTCGTACACCACCTTGAAAATAAAACAATGCACAAAGAACACAGTGATACTAATGACTATCTAAATTGCTTTGTCAGTTCAACGCGTTATTTAAACATTTCAGAGAGGATTTATCTTGAAAAAATTTAACTAAAGTATTCACTATGGCATTTCTAACTGCAGAGCTAATAATTTAAATATAACGATTCGTCTTACCTAAAAATTGTTTTTTACCCACGGCTTTGCACCACTCGTTCGCACAATCGTAGAATGATTCTCTAACATTTGGTTTTAAATTATATTTTCGTTTTAATTTTCCACTAAATGCGTACATAGCCAAAGCACCACCATAGATAACAAAAAATCGTTGGTACCATGGAAATATTTTCTCCCATTCACCTTCAAACAGAAAGACAAACAAATGTTAATAGTCATCTATTTGATACCCGAGACTATGTTTCTAGTACCAGCTTGACTGAACCATTTAAAACTATTTATTGATTCAGTTATTGACTGATAAATATTTGGTGCGAGTGTATGAACAAATTTGTCATCGACCCACTGACGCCATTTTCTCTCTAATTTGAATTGATCATTTGGAATTCGATCATAATCAATGTCGTTACTTTTACCACCACCAACAATTCCACTAACCGCTTTTATCAATCGATTTTCACTTCGTGGAGAAGATTTAGCAGATGCGGTCACCTTTGATGAGAAGAGGCTGCCTAGAGCAACGTTAAATCAACACACATTTAATAACGGTGCACATATTAAAATAACTCACTCTCATCATCGGCATCACGACGCGATTTTTCTCGTTGTATACGTTTACCCGGATCTTTTCTTGAATCTTCAAGTGGTTCCGTGAGAAAATATTTACTTGGATAATTGAATGCTACGTTGCCACCCTTGTCTTGTTCAATAACCGGTTGATATAAACGCGCAATGTCTTTAAAAGTTTTTGTGGGTATACGAAAATACGATTCAATGGCTGACATAATTAAATTTGAATCATTCAATTGTATTTGTTCATTTTCAACAACTACTATTGGCACTTTTTGATAGTTCGACCATTTTACTTCACGACCTAAAACACTACTAACTTCGACAACATCATATGGAATTCGATTGTAATTCAAATAGGCGCGAATTTTACAGCAAAATGGGCCTAAACAAAAATAACAACAGATCTAGATTCATTTGAAACTGAACTAAAATGGATGCATAGTTTCCTCGTTAGCTCAGAAGAACATAAAACAGACAGGGAGAAAGAGCGAAATTCTTTTTACATGTAATGTATTGATATAAGGTTAATTTGTATGGAAATTCTTTCAACGGTGACCGATTAAAAGTGACATGTTTTGTTACTGGTGGTGGCACTGGACGTTTTTCCATTGCTTGACGATCGAGTAAATCTGAATTTACTATATATTCTAAACTTGAAAACACATTCAGCTGCCTGATCAAAAAAGTTTTTAAACAGGTTCACCTGGTGATATTCCGTCGTGTTTTCTTACGTGACCTAATGCATAAATTGTGCCTATAAGTGCACCAGCTGCTGTTGAAAATATATAAAAACGGAAGCGTCGTTTTGGTTGCGCTGAACTTGATTGTTCATTTTCTAGAAATATTTCTTTTTGATAAATTACCGGCGATGTTGTTAACAGGGCTTTCTGGTTCAAGAAACTACGATGAATATTCTGTTTTAACAAGAAATAACGACAACGAGACAGTAACAAGAGTGATGATGAAGCCATTATCTGAAATGCAAAAGCAAAACAAACAAAAAGTGACTGATATATCATTCAACGCGAAAAAAATGTGATAAAAAACTTGTTCTTTAAGCAGTAGCAGGAGAAAATTTAAAAATCCTATAATACGCCTACACGTCTAGAAATTTTACATCATATTACACAAAAGATTTGATATCTATAAGCAGTTTATTGGATAAAGAAGCCGTAGTTGACAAACAAAAAAAGTAGCGCGACACTATGTAGAATACTTATACCCTACACTGTACCGATGTGATGGAGAGTGACAGTGTGATCAATCTGCAGAAGTAACAGATGGGATACTTCAAACCCAAAGAGAATTTAAGAATGAAAGTAGTTAGAAAAACTCGCCGTTTCCTTCGAAAAAACGGTGAGCATATAACAAAGAAAACACTCAGTAAGTTAACAATTGATTTTTCGTCCTTAATGAATTAAACATAGAGAGTCTTCTACGTACGTCACGTACAAAGGAGGTATCAGATCGAAAAACTTTACAGAATACTATAATCCAGCTCTAACCGTGGTTCATTCGAAAAGTCAAGTAATTTGATAGGCACTGTTTTGGACAGCAGAGACCATCTATTTATGAAGCAACTGTGCGAGCTCATTGGCTGCGACAATGGGCTCAGTAACATGCTAAAATCAATTACGATAATAGATTTTTCAGTTCTTCAAAGAATTCTGCAGGCCAAAATTCTTGCGGTTCACATTTTTCTTGTTATTTTTAAATGGCGAGTAAAGTGACCATTGAGAAGTGAACTGGTAGATGGCGCGCTTTAAGGCTACACTGAGCATCATTAGCAGAGCGCTGTTCATGCACTGGTACTTTATAGAAACAAAATCATATGATTTATTTTTCACTGTGGTCTAATGGAACACCGTAGTGAATGTACTTGAGATCAAGTCCTTAGCTACTTGCAAATTTTCTAAAGCACTAGGTTAGGCACTTGTAAAGCATTTTTAGATTTAATACGTGCCAAAGACTTGGAAGAACTTCGGATACTTGCATATATTTCGCAAGTACTTACCAGGTTATCTGCCAAATACTTGATGAAATACTTATCTAGTACTTATATTTGTTAAATTACTTGAAAAGTACCTTTTTTACTTGCAAAAAACTCTAGATACTCTGCATTACTTACCCGAGTACTTTTCTAAGTACTTGGTCTCATTCACTCGGGCAAGCACATCGTTAATGTTCTAGTTGCGCCAATGTTATTATATGATTCAATAGGGCTTAAAAATCTAATTCGAATTTCTTAATTTATATACAGTTTTAGTTGTATTTTCATTACAAAAATGTATTTTAATTTACATCATATATTAGAATTAATATTCAGTTAAAATAACAGCTCTTAGCTATATATGACAATGGAAAAAAATGCGTGGTACCCATCTCCATTGTACTCGAAAGTCGATAATGTTCCCCTCATGAAATCGAAACAATGAGTCAGCCCTCAGGAAACTACAGAGAACATCCTTGTCAACTCCGTTTTAAGCTAAACTAAAAAGATAATCTGAAAATAAGAACATTTCGCGTTGAAATCATGTTTCTTATATCGTTACTCTACTGCAGAATAAAACGGTGAATAACAAAAAACCATTCAATAGCTTAAAATCAACAATTAATCGCAATTAATTGACCAGTATGGGGGTTGAAGGGGGAGGTGGTGGTAGACTCACCTACGCCACACGCTCAGCCAAAAATAGCCTGGAGATGAATTTGGCGCACTTTTTTGGGTGTTCTTACCCTTTCTTCTTTGTGTTCGTGGGTGTGCATTCAAAATGTATGCTTAAAAAGCGAAACTATAAAAAGTTTTTTGGGTGTTTGTTAGGGATTGCTATACTCAACTCGACGAGCTCTATCGATTGGCTAACTCAGATTTTAATTTGGGGCGTTCGTGGGTGTTCTCGTCTTTTAGCAATACCCGTATCGATAAGAGCTATATAAGCCGCCTGTGTAAGAACTGTTAGTTAAACAACCGGTCTCATAGGTGAGCCACCATACAAAAGTTAGAAGTGGAATAGAAGACTAAGAAATTTTTAAAGTGCATTTTTGGTGAGGAAAATAGAAAATATTTCGATGAAAGATTATCATAGTGAAAGCAAAAACAATTTTTTTAAAAGCGGATCGTTGCCTTGCTGGTGGTGTTTCAATAGCCGATTTTATTTAGGCTATACGGTTTTCACTGGTATTAATTTACTGGGTAGAGAAATACCTACTTTTTGTTACCCTCAATATATCACGTGTCTTCCATTTCTTGTGTTACTTTACCTACGTGTTTGCTGCTAGTCATCCGAAAGTATTATTATCCAAGTACATAAACAAAAGGAAATATCATTTCAAATTCCGAAACAACGTAAAAAAAGAGCATAAATGAGAATAAATTATCAATCACTATTTCACTAACACAAAAATAGAAATTATAAATAAAGCTAAAGTATGCAGGGCAAAAAAGAAAACGTCCAAAAGTTGCCGCTTTTTTAGACGCTTTTTTTGTTACCGTGTGCGATCACTAGTACGGATTGTAGTCGATTTTTTGAAAAAAACACCAAGACAACCGTATTTGCGCCAAAATTCCGTTAAGAGTGATATGATATTTATTGATAGAAACAAATATTTAGATAAGAAAAAATGATGAACGAAAAGAGATTTCTTATCTGACTTTGAGTCAAAAAGAGGTGAACAAGACATATAAGAAATAGAGTTTTAGAGCAAAAGAAGATATCAAACACATTTCAAAATCACAAGCTTTTTCGTATGAATAATCATTTCTTTAATCAGGGCAGAGCTTGTACACTGTAATCTTGAATTATTTCCAGTTTATAGAAAATTGACCGAAAAATCGCCGAGGATTTTCTAGTTTATAGAAAATCGACTTGAATTTCCATACATTCGATTTTTTATAAAGGTGGAAGATCGCTCATATCATATTACACTTAAATCAACCAGAAAATTCAATTTTCTATAAACTGCAAAATCTTCGCGGAATTCCCATAGGTACTCTTTAAAATTCGCCGAGCATTTTCGATAAATAATTTCCAACCTTATAGTATATATATTAATGCAAATATAGAAAATTTTTAATCAAATCGTATCGATAATTTCAATTAGATTCTACTGTAACCCGGTCATCGAATCGTACTTCATTTGGTGGTTGATCCGATGGCATAAGTGAATCGAAAATGACAGACTTAGTTCATATTCTGATCGCGAAATGGATCCCTGATCCGGTTACCGAAATTAATGGGGAAATAAATGGAGCTTAGCCGGAACCTATGAGAGAAATTAATTCTAAGAACATTATACGTCATCCTTTTTTGATTACTTCTTCTTTCTTTGCTGATATTTGATTACATTTTTAAACACATCCGTTTAGCGTGTAATGAATTGCTTCAGGACAGAAGGAAGACAATAATGAGCAATTTGATGAATTTAATGTTTTTGATTTTTGAGCAGTAAGAATTAGGAAATACAATTTATCCGGTAGGTTGTACGTTAAATTTTCTCTGAAATAGTTAATCTGTTAATTTCCATTTTCGCGTCACTTCTCTTTTTAAATAGTCATTCAACAATACTCTATTGCAGTTGAGATCTTTTTTTTCTATTAGTACATCTGATAAAAATTATACATTTTAAAGGTAAATAATCACTTAAATTCAGACAAATTGTAGGGCTTAGTTCGTTAACCGGAGTATGCATACGAGCCATCATCTTACTTAAAATATCCAAAATTCTTTAATCTATAGTGAATAATAGAATTGATCAATACGCTTCTCGTATCAACTGATGATTAATATTTCTCCGAGACAAAACCACCTGCAAGGTTAAGAGTTTTGCTGAAATGCTGCAATTTCATTATAGTTTATTTGCTTAAAATGGTAAGTGCTTGTTAGAGCCCTGCAGGTTATAACTTTTCCATAACCTCTCCTGTAAAAACTTTAACAATTTATAACCTTTCATAACCTTATACCTCGTAATCTGTAACCTACCCTAACCTGCAATAGTTTTAGCGTAACATGTTCTGTCCTGTCCTGCGAAAAAATTACTGCAAAAAATGAGTACCCAAGTTCGAAAATTTTTCCTAATAAAGTAAATTCTTTTGATCTATTTTATTTATGCAGCAAACAACAACAACAACAAAAGGTCACACATCTCTGAACTTTCTGATCAATAATATATCGTCAACAACATCTGGATTCAACGACTGTCTTCGTGTTTCCAATACTCTTCCTGATTCACTAAATATTTTTTTTGACTAATAAAAACTGTTTTTCGAGTTCTTATTTCTTTCCCTTTACAGATGGCCTTTAATACTTTTTTTACAGGTTGAAAACAGGGTACGGGTAGTGTAACCTGTCCTGTAAAAATTTTCGTAACCTATAATCGATCCTAAACTGCGAAGTCGTAACCTAAACGTGTCTTAATCTGCCAGGACAGGATAGGTTATACGTGACCTTCAGTACTCTAGCGCTTGTGTCATATAGTCATTGCTTTAGAGAAGAGTAAAAGGGAAGACTTTTTTTGTCTATCAGAGTCGATCATAAAGTTCATAATCTGCTTAAAAGTGAATAAATTTTCATCTTGTCTACTAATATATAAACATAAAACTAATCTAGTCTGAAAGATGAGCTTTTCCGTTACAGCAACTGTATTCCTTAGCAATATAATTTGCTTCAAAGTCCAAAGGTATCTTTATTTAAAGATCTAAACATTTTTTCCATGGAAAAGCTCATCTTTTCAGACTAGATTAATTTTATGTTGATATATCAGAAGACAAGATGAAAATTTATTCATTTTTAAGTAGATTATGAATTTTATAATCGATTCTGATAGGTAAAGAAAGTCTTCCATTTTACTCGTCTCTGGAGTAATGACTATATGACACCAGCGCTTATCATTTTAAGCAAATAAACTACAATGAAATTGCAGCATTTCAGCAAAACTCTTAACCTTACAGGTGGTTTTGTTTCGAAGAAATATTAAATATTAATCATCAGTTGATACGAGGAGTGTATGATCAATCCTGTTATTCACTGTGTATTAGAGACCCACGCGAGTCGAAATGCTTCGAACGGAGTTGACTGGAAGCAAAAAGTGTTGTTTAAGCCATAGAAATGTGTAATGGCCAAGTTTTTTGTCGACCGGGCCGGTAACCGGTCTAAAAATTTTGGATTAGGCTGGACAAGTGCGACGGGTCAATCGGCCGGCTTACATCGTTTTTCCTCCGCCGGATCGCGCCGGGACCGGCGTAAACTGGTTGCATCTCTAGTTTAAGTCTGACCTGACCAAGAAACTAAAAAACTGTCTTTTCTGTTAAGAAATTCTTTCATTTCGCTGCCTTAAGGCAAACAAGTTCGTTTCTATCGGAATTTTTATTAGTTTCTGCGGTTAAAACTGAAATATATTTTGGCTTTACTGTACTTACAATATTTCACTAAAGTACACTTTCTAATACGAGTTCAGTATAAGTAGGACGAATAATCTTTAATCTTAATCTAACACCTTCTATTCTTGTGCGGTGTTATATGTTTGACAGATATATCTCAAGGAGGGTGAGATTATCTTATGTTTCGATTAACAAGTTGTCGTGTGATTGATCGTAAAGTTAAAGCATCGAATCATATTTGAAACTCGATTAACTAATCGAAATTATTCGTACAACTATTTCTTGTTTCCTTAGGGGCGTTAGTCCTTACGTAGAAAATTGAATATATCAGCAATAAAGCAACTTTTACGTCTGCGATTTTCACCAAACTTTATCAGAATGTTTGCTTTAAAGATGTCTTTTATCTGCTGCAAACGAAATGTAAGGTGATCGATTGAGCAACACTGTACGGAAATAGGTTGTGAGTTAATTTTACCGACTGTTACGGTACACTTGTTATATAGCGAGTACAAAAATTGAGCGTCCACCTTCCTCTTAAGTCTGACATTTTGTCCGATAGTAGTAACTGTACAACATCCAAAAAGTGATTTGAGCAGCTAAAAGAGTGAAAGATGGAAGTTCCATCGACATTGCTGGCTACTGAGTCCCTGAGAAAATCCCAAACCTTAGAAAACTAAGTCCCTACAGTCGCCAGGAAAATTTTTCTACGAACAACGTAGTCGTATAGAGCAAACGTTTCTGCTCTAAATAAGCTGTCTCCAAGCTCTTCGTGACGTTTTTTTATTAAGAAGAACCTAGTTTCCTAGTTTTGGGGATTTTCTTCGAGATTTAGTAGTCAGCAATATTGATAGAACTTCCATACACACTTCTTTGAATAGAAAACTATCATAGTCTGTAATTCACACGTATCCTTCAAATACTTTTTAGTTAAAGAGGAACAGAAACAAACGAGTTGATTTTGCTGCTAAAAAGGATTGTAAGTAACTTTTTGACATCCCGAAGCTATGCGAACTAACTAGCCAGAGGAACTGTATTGAGTATGCTGTCGGACGGGCGATCTTAGACACTAAGACATAAGTAACTGGTCCAAGGTTATTACATGACCCGGTGGCGCCGAGTTTGAAATACAGTACGTTTGCAGTACGTGACGAACAACAGAACCACTAAGTCGTTCTGTCTTCCACAGTGGGGAGTTTTAGCTTGTGAAGCGAACCGACATTAGAATTCTTTTGCGAATCAATTCCTTTTTTCATGGTATCATTATCACTCTCGGCCCACCACAGAATGTCATAAACAAAACGTAAACTTTGTATTTTAAAACAATATTAATTTTTTCAAAAAATCGTCATAAGAGAGACCAAGGTGAAACTTGAATAAGACTGTTTTGCTCACAATTTATTATTTTACACATATTTGGATACAAATTTATGCGTTGATTCCTGTCATCCCATTAGTCTTGTAAAAATATGAATTAAAAGCTAAATGCATACGCACTTTAACCCTTTGAGTCCCAAATTTTTTTTGCTGGTTTGAATGTAATTCGTAATTCTCAATTTTCTCCACCAGCACTCAACTTTTATGCAATAAAAATATCATATTCGGAATCAGGATGAAAAAATGAATCGACTGATGTGTGTCCCTATCCTATTCGAGTACTTTAGTTTTTTTCGAATTTTCACGTTGATCGTCAAGATTTTCACCCAAAACTGAAATCAGCTAAAAATTTCGAAATACAGATCAGTCGACTGAGTTTTTGATCCTGATTCTAAATATGATATTTTTATTATATAGAAGTTGAGTTCTGATCGAGAAAATTGAAAACTACGGACAGAATTCCGACTTTTTTGCTACTGATTTAGAAAAAAAGAATTTTCTCAGCAACGAAACAAAATTTGAAAAAAAGCGAGTTATACTTTTGAAGCCGACACTTCAGCAAATATAATGGGATGTAAATGATAGTTCGAACCCTTAAGAAAAGAATGGAAATGAAGACTTCTATGATTCTTAGATAAATTAAACATATTTGATTTAATAAAATCGTTTTCTCCTAGTTTATTTTATAGACAGTGCCCCATAAGTGCATTTGCTATTTATTAGCTAATGCTCCATTGCTTCATTCCAAGAGATTACGTACTAATTTTTATAAATTAAGTTGTAAAAAATAATTATAAAACATGTGTGGCTTTTTTGCTACTATAAGACTCAAAGGGTTAAATGAGAGTCAAAAGTTTTGGCCCAAAATGGCATATACGAAATCCTGAGAGACGAGTTTGAAGAACTTTGGGAAAACGAATTTTTCTTGAAATTTGTATTTTAAAGACAATATTTTTGTTTTTAGTCATCAGATCACAATTTAAACATATTCTCTTTCAGCAGCTGAATTCTTTGTAAGCACGCAATTATATCGACATACTGTTTTATTTCATAATATTTGTAAATTTAAAAAAAAAGAATATTAAATATTTGAATATATTCGAAGAACACACACACAGAAGTTTATGAGTTTTCTTATTGTCATTCATCATTACGGGTTTACATTTTTAAATTTTTACATTTTTCTTGCAAGTCTTTTCGTTTTAATTCTAGCAAAGCTAATGTATCTGTTGTGTTAAATTTTTGTACCAATTGTTCAGGACGGAATGCATCTTGTTTGATATCTTGAATTGATTTCAATTTCGATGTAAAACAGTTTGCTTCTGACATTATTTGTGATGCTGGTTTATTTAAACATACACGGTTACATAATAGACGTTCATTAGTATCCAATAGTTCATATTCAAAACCTACAAGAAAGTAGAATGACTAGAAGTTTTAAGTATCATATCGTTGATCTTAGATCAGTGGTTTTAGAGAGCGTGAAAAAAAACACGTAATTAGTAAATGACATGCTCTCATCGACGTTTTTCATGAGTACTGATAATTGATTTTTCTATATACAGTGGGTATTTTAGCTTACCATGCGGACATGTAATTTTTTGCGTAGTCAACCTGTTTTCCGATTTCAAAGTTAGTTGAAATCACTTATACGCTCATTTTTTTTTCAAAGACGCTTTAGAAGGTTAGAACAGAAATTTTCAAAATTTTTTTCTCTTAAAAGGTTTCTAATAAACATCATTTGATGTAGATTAACGAATTAATTCCGAATGTCATTAATTTTATGAAAAATAGCGTGAAGCTGAAAAAAAGTCAAAAATATTGAAAATTGTCTGTTTCTCAAAAATCTGCTGAGAAACACATGAAACTGTGCGCATGTTCGATTATGTACCATCGCTTTATTACATTTAGAACAGCATTGAGACAAAGTTTTACTCGGAAAAAACGTTAGCCAGAAAAATTTAGAAAATTAACGTGTTTTGATCTATCAAATTATGTAGCATTAGTAGTGGTAAAAATTCATTCAACTTAAAAATGGAATTATATCGATTTTCGCTGATAATTTTTGTATTATCTCTCCGCTATCATATCCTATGATTCAAAAGGTTTAGAGCGTTGAATAGCTCTGACATCGAAGCTGATATCGCTCTTATGTAAATGCTAAATAATCCAATCTTCGTTTTTCCCTAAATGCCTACTGTGTCCTAGTGATTCATGTTTTTATAATATGACTGCAAGACATTGAGTACCGTCTTGTTGTCAGTACGTACCTAAACCAAGGTGAAATGCCATTTGAGTATAATCATTAATTTTTGGTATTATCTGATCCCCATCGTTAATAAAACTTTGTTTGACATTTACTTTAACTTTGCATTCTTTTGCATATTGTCCAATTTGTTCTAATGTCGGATGAAATGATTTTTGTGCATATAATTTATAACCACAATACGATGAATCTTTTGAATATAATGCTACTGGACAATGTGAATGTTTACCACCGAACCAGTTTGAAAACCAGCTGAAACCATACGTGCAGGATACGAGTAATAATTGAAGTAAAAAAATAATTAAAAATTTCATTCTTGGTTGATTGTGAGAGAAAACGGTTAGTTATATTGAAATCTATGTATACGTGTTATGAAGAGTAAAATGTAGTGATACAAGACAATTTATACATCTGTACAAGTGTTTATAGTTTAGTCAACTTTTTTATCAAACAAAGAATGATTGCATAAAGAGGCACAAAAAAAAGCGTCAGTCTTCTATAGCAAATATTCTCATTATTTAGAATAGCCGGCTGTGAAAGACATTTATATAGCAAAAAAGTATACGCGTCATACAGTAGTTAGACGGTTGTAAGAATGCGATCCTCTAGTACAATTGAAAGAGACGTTAAAATCGCTGGGATAATAAATTCTTAAAAACGAAACCCTATCTATCTGATATAAAGGGGACCCATATTAGTATAATAAAGCGGACAAACGTTTTGTACCAAGACTAGTGGTTTGTTTATTTTTTCATAAGCTAGTCATGTTTTGTGAAGCTTGTAGTCCTATAAGGTCCAATGTAGAGCCTAATGTAGAGGAAAATGTGAGCTACAAAATGAGACCATTCCCAGTCCTTCACGACCTTTCTTCAAAAAGTTATGCATTGCTGAAGTTTTTCCTTCAAAGCGGAAAAAGCTCAATTTTTTAGTTTCATAAAAGTTTCTCTTCTTTTCTGTACATTCAAAATTTTTCTTACACATAGTCTGAAAAAAAGGATGTGTTTTCTTCACACTGAGATGTTTTCTGGAATTTTCTGATGAATTTTCATGAAGATATAAGCGCGGCAAATGTCCTGAAAAAAGTGACCTATGTACAAAATGCGTTTTTTCTCGAAAACAATTTTTTTGCTACCGGGCTTCATTGTAACACATTACGACCCCCCTTAAATTTCATCCGATCGAGTTCAAAATTTTACCAGAGGTACTCAGGGTCATAGCGCAGAGGTATAATTTTGGAATTTTATTTTAGACCTTTCTTTACCGAGTTATAGGGTTTCTAAAATTTTGAACTTGGTTTTTGAGACGTTTTTCAGTATTTTCCCTATAACTCGACCAGAAAAGGTCTCAAAGAATTTCCCAAAAATTACCTCTGCGGAATGACCTTGAGTACCTTCGGTAAAATTTTCAATTCGATCGGATGAAATTTAACGGAGTCGTAATATGACACAATGAAAAACCGAGTTTTCTGAACGGTAATAGTTAAAAACTTGAAACAAGAACGAAAAAGTGTTCCATTGAATTTCCAATCAGTTTTGAAAATACGAACCCCTAGCGACTTTTAGTTTTTATTTCACAGCATTTCTACAGAAAGTTAAAAGAGGGGAGGGATACCCTTAAACGAACATAGACAACTGAATGGATTTCAAGATAAAATCTTTTGACACAGATATCACATGTTGCGAATGATGCGTTCAGGTTAAAGCCTATATATGATTGCAGCATCAACTTTTAGCGTTCATTTAAATTGTCATTTTAAAGAAAATGTTTACGCTGCTATTCAAAATGTGACGTCTCCGACGTCTGTGTAAGCTTCCCTCACAAGGCTACAATTTTTGCAAACTGTAACTGATTTAAAAAAACGACAGACTGTTTCACAGATTTGAATAAGAAGGTAGATTTTAATATTAATAATGACGACAAAATCCAATTAGAGTACTTAAAGTACTCGAAAAGCAATTTTTTGATCATACACATTAATGAAAGCTGAGAATGAAATTTCAGTATTATATCTTCTGCTATCCTTGTAATTTCTGTGTCGATTTTTAAACGGCTATTGTAGGATTATAATAGAATTTTATCTGATTTTCTGCTGGTTTATCCTACTAGGTTTATTGTTTTTATTTGTTTAATTATTCTCTGATCCCAGTTAGCCAGAATCAGGTGATTCTGAGCTGGGATAAGTGCAAGACTTGTGAGTAGTGACTCATACGTCGTCGAACAGTAGCGAGTTTCGATGGCTCACAGTGTTCGGTGAAAATTTGAGCCTAAAAGAATTTTTCATTTTCTACAATAGAGTTGTATTCATATTAGAGTTACTGCAAAATACGTTGGTCATTGTGTTCTCGTACAGAAAAAGAAAAGGAAATATATGCAGAACGAAAACACAGGAATCCTACACAAAATCTTACCATGGCTTTTGTAAGAAATGCATAAGAGGAACCCTATAGGATTTTTGCTTCCATCCTATACCAAGAATCCTACGGAAATTCTGTCGTAAGATTTCATAGAACCCTACAACAGGAAGCCTATTATCAGTAAGATCCTAGTAGGATTGCTTGACCTGAGTAGCTTTTGGAAAATAAAAACAATTCTTAGTAGAAAACATGTTTATTTTGAGATATCAAAATTAAGCTTAGATTTAGACAGATCTTTATGAAACGTTCAGCGGATATTGCGCATATGTATCTTAGGTAGTTTATACAGAAAAAATTTCGAGTTTATATCTCACGTGTTCTGGAAGTTGTGGGCGCAACAAGAGCCAAAATGCGGCTTTTGTCGTTTTAAGATTTTCTTCTTTCTTTCTGATGCTACAACGTTTAGAATAGTGTCACAATAGTTACTTTTTCTGCTTTCCTACAGCAGCTCTTTTTTTGTAAAGTCAGCTTTGTTTGTAAAATAAAGTCAAGTTCAAGTTCAAGAATAGTTTTGTCTTGCAGAGAAAACTCGGAACTAGAATGTGACAGAGTTCGATTTTTGAAATGATCATTTTTCGTTAAATTCATAGTTTTTTCTCAAATCTCTGAAAATCTTTTACAGTAACTTTGTCTTAGATCCTGAAGTGAGAATCCAAAAACCGTCTTTGAGACGTTGTAGCTTCAAGTTTTCTCGACAAAACCAAATCATCCCGAACTCTGTAGCATCAAACGGATAGGTGAAACTGAAAGAAGACAACAAAGACATATTCGTCGATATATACACATAGTATTTCAATGAAAAAGCAGTTTTCTGTCACAAAAGCAACGCTTTCATGTATTTTATATCCAAAAGTATGTGTTGCACATGTTTATGCACATATGCACTAGATTCATCTAAGTCATTGATCTAAAAACAGCGTTAGCGTTGATTCTAAGACAAAATACTGTTTTTTCATTGAAATACTATGTGCATATGACAACGAATATGTCTTCGTACATGCTCATCAGATTCAGTATAGTCAAAAATCTACATTCGCATGTTGATTGTTCAGGAATATTCAATGAGTGGCAGAAAAAAAACACCTCATCCTAGTTTTTTACAGGCAGCTTATAGAAAACTTTTTGGAAAACCATGACAAATCCGTTATTACAGTCATTGAAATTAGTGAATGTACTCACAAAAGAGTGCTTGCTCAAGTATTCTCACAAGGTTTGTCTACCGCTCATGAGATTTTTCACAAGTAAACCTGCCAAGAGAGCGAAGCATCTAAACTATTTTACCTTTTTAAGTACTTAGCTCAAGTATCCCTACAAGTAGTTTTAAGAGGTCGAACAAGTAAATCGAGTATCTAGCAAGTACTTTTTGGTACTCGGACAAGTAATTACCCAGCGCAATTAGCAAAAATACTTACCAAGTACTTGCAAGTACGCACAGAAATTCATAAACGAATACGTAATCGCTTGTAACTAGTAAGAAAGGCCATTTAAAAGAGGAGACTTTGCTCAATCGAAGCATATATTTTCTCCAAATCAGTTCTTTTTTGCAGGAGAGAGTCCTCTAATGTATCAGTTCGAAGTAAAACTGAAGACAGACATATCCGAAGAAATAATTCATTTCATCTTTCTTTTCTACTTTTCTAGTAATGAACACAATAATGATGTACGCTTCAGCTTGTATTCTCGTTCTTATTTCTTTATCGTATTTTGAATGCAAATCAATTGGCACTGGTGATTCATTTATGCCGTTGTTATTCTCACCGGTGGTTGGTGATGATGCAGGAATTGCAAGCACGGGTTCATTTTCTAATCCACGTGTTTTATCGATGATTGAGCAAATCATCAAATATTTATCTACTATTAAATCCAATGATTTATTTATTGATAATTTAGTTGCAAAGCAATCATCGGTAACACAAAAATATAAATTATTATTATTTTTAAAAAAATGTTTTGAAAGTACAATTGAACGAATTAATCAGGAACTTGTTCAACCATCCAATGACAAGTCAACCTTAACACTCGAGGATTTCCAACAAGCTGAATTAAAAGTACAAGATATATTACAAGTTATACAAAAACGATTAGCAATGGTCAAATCATATATCCCTCCGACAATGCCATTTTTGGGATTTTTTTAAAGAAAAGAAATTTTAGGTTTTTTTTGAAAACGTAACAATTGTAATATTAATTGAAATTAAATGTTATGCATGATCCACTAGATACAATTCAGATGCGTCCCAAAAACGGAAAAATGCAACATTTGTCAAAATGGGAGTAATTGTAATTTATTTTTTATCATCAGTCCTAGAAGTAACGCAATGAGATGATGAATATCCTCATCCTATGCATTTTAACTAAAAGATAGCTTGTTTTCTTTATCAGCATCAAAAAATGAAACACGTATTTACTCTTCTAAGCAAACCAAAAGAGAATAGAGATAACGGAGAAACTTCATTAATAGCTAAATACACAAGAAAATGAGTATATTTTTCCAATTTTTAGTTTAACAAAAAGAGAGAGACACAAATATTTGCAAAAAACACATTACTTCCTTATCAAAATCATAACATATTTCACTAACAACTCTGTCAACATATATTTCTTAAAAGTAATAAAAACGCTCTTAGTTCTCACTTAGATGAAATATCCCAATCACGTATGGAGACGCTTGTAAAAGCAACATGATTTAACGGTTATGTTGTTTATCATGTATTTTACAGGTACTATGTTCGAATAAGTCGTGTATCATCCGAACGATAGTATATCTCTACGTTTTAACATACAACATAGTTTCTCTGATGTTTGTCAGTGTGAGAAAGAGAGAGAGAGAGATCAAGCAAAATAAGTGAATAATCCCCGGGACAGAGCTACAACACAATAAATCATGATACACGCATATTTATTTCAACCGAAAATCAGTTGGAAAACTTTTCAACATCACTGTCAAACACTAAAGTATATGCCACGATTTATAGTGAGTTTGGTGAACGGCAAAGAGATAGATGACTAATTTCAAAAGATTGCCCTCTACATGGAAAATAACCGGGTACACGAAACTGACAAGTATCATTGTATGGTTTATCAGCGTCCTACACGAACAATGGGAGCTACAAGCTGGAATATTCCTTCTTCCTCCACCTCCAGTGTCGAGGTATTTTCTTTTATCAACAAAAAGTTTTTTTCGTCCAAAATTCCATGGTAAATTAAGAAAAAATCATAATTTTCATTGATAACAGACTATATATAAATAGAAATCAGTCACCATTTTATATACTACATCAAGAACACGTGTACATTATTGTAGTTAAAAATTTAACGCAATTAAATTCAGAGTTTTTCATCTTAATGAAGTTGATGATACAAGAGTTTTATTAGCGATGTACGTATGTAATTTCAACTTCGAATAGCTTTTTGTATGCGTAAACATTTTTAATATGTCTCAGCTAGTGAACTTAGTCGATTTGTCAAAAATTATACAAAAATTGACCAATAATCCATTTATTGTTGGTCAAAAAAATTAAGTGATTATGGTCATTTTTAAATAACTTTTAATAGAAGATACACAGAGATCTATATTTTTTGCTATTCGAAAGAAAAGACTTGACTGTATGACTTGACTGTATTTCTTAAGAGGAAAAAAATGTTTAACATTTATTTTGACAGTACGTCCTTCAGAAGATATCTGTACATATTTTTTTTTATCATTGTTTAAAATATTAGATAAAAAATAATAATAAATTAAAAATTTATTAGAAACTCCCCAAGTTGCGATTGAGTGGAGAATGAAACAAACATCGCCACGATTAATCAGCGTGGTCGATTATCTATGATCCACATGTTTCTGAGATTCCCAGGCCTGTCTGAAACAAGATAGGTGTGTCCTCAGAAAACTTCTGTATCTCCGGAACCAAAGGAGATGAAGATCTGGACCTAGCGTACTTTTGAAGAGAAATGTTTTGACTATCGATTGGTATTATTTGAGATTGGATTTCATAGTGTCGTTTAGGAACAGTAAGCTTTCGGATTTTGCCTGAAATGGTATACCATGTTAAACCTAATCGGAAGCTCTGCTTCTCTCATAGATTTACGTCCCAAAGTGTCTAATCTCAGAATCTGAAAATCGTAGGTCTCTATCGCCTTTTGTTCAAAATTTAGTCAGAAAACATCGGACTGCATTATATTTTGGTACAGATAATAGTATTAGGTGAGTATAATCATATTATTATTACAGTGAGTTTTTAATTTTCATCATTAGATCAATTGTTATATGAATAAAAAAATTAATATTTTCTCTACAAAGGCGTATTATTTATTCTTCATATGCGAACTGTTTCAAACAGGAAGTACATTCTAAAATATTAAACTAACTTTGAATAGTTTGATTATTCTGTAGTTTAATAATCTCATCCTCGACGTATATCAATTCTAAAAAAATACATCTTATTAAAATAAAATGATTTAATAGAGAAAAATATGAATTATTATTTGTTGTTTTATTAAATCACAAAATTATCTAAAAATAACAATAACAACTAAGACCATTTCGAACCGTCAACAATTACTCCACTACGCCAAGTAATCAGACACACTTTCACTTTTCCTTTCAATGTCTTTTCATTAAATATTTTATAGAGAATAATGCGTTTTGTCTGATATTTAGCACCTTCAAGACGAGCCATGACAAGATCAATAACATCACCTTCTTTCACCTAAAACGAAACACTTTTTTGTTTATATTCTAATGTATGGAAGAATCAAATAATTCATACTTGTTGTGCTTTTTTTGTTGATTTTTCACCATTTATCTAGAGCAAAAAACAAGATATTTTTAAAAAATATTGAAACATATTTAATACGTACTCGTAGTTTTGAACCATAAAATTCTTCTTCTATTTGACTAAAAAGTTTTAAAATCGAATGATAAATTTTTTTAATTTCAAAAATTAAATTTGATATTTACCTTCTACCTATGCCAGTTCCAGATGAACAAATTAAATCTAATCTCAATGAACTAATATATTTTATAATAATTTTATAACCTAAAAATCAAAAAAAATTTTCACTACTGAAAGTCTAAAATTATTTTAATGTGAGTAAACATACCTTTTGGCAATAAATTACGATTGAGGCCCTTCAAAATTTGATCTTCATTCTTAAAAATAAAAAGATATATGAATCTAGTTCACATACATACACGTCTCTTTTGTCTGTTTTACTTCGTCATTTTCTTCTTCATCATCGTCATCCTCCTCCTCTTCTTCATTTTCTTCAATTTGAGTAGGTTTTCGGCTAACTAAACGTTTATGACTAATAGAAAACTGTTGTAAAGATTGCTTCAAAATCTCATAATCATTATGTCTGTATAAATTATTTTGTATTGGAATTGTGTTTAGAGAACGAATGGACTTTAGTAAATAGTGTTTATGTGCAAACGAGATTGAATATCGTCCCAAAGATCGTATCAATAATAATTGCCTGGCAATATTCATCTAAAAGCAACAAAATAGACAAAAAAAGCAGCACAAAATCTAGATCATAACTCGAACTACTGTCTAGGTAAAATATAGATAAATAATAGTGTACTTCAACAGTTTCCTAAAAAACTAGAGGATCACTGAACTTTTTTTGAAATTGACCTAAAATCAATCAATATGCTTGTAAAATTTCAGTGCTGATACTATTTGATGTGTTCTAAATATTGATACTGTCAAAATACTAGTAGGTTCTGGAAATAGATTTTTGGAGATCCTTACGAATACTAGAGTTTATAAATTACAAATTTTTCTTTTTTTTCTGTTTTCAACAACTCTCCAAGTTATAAGACATTAAAGTACATTTATTGTCAAGTTTACAAGCAATACTTACTGGATTCTTTGAATTTTATTGATCATTGTAGCTAAAAGTAATAGCAGTAAAAATTTTAAATATCAAAGAAGGAAGCATAAGATTGCTACAAAAAAATACATAATTTTGGAAATTTTATTCAAAAATCAGTTGATTATGGACATTTGTACAGTGGAAAATCAGTGGAAAATCCAATAAATTTGATATACCTACTCCTTTTTATGTACACCAACAGAAAAACATTGGTAGAGATTGTTTCAATTTAAAACATAGTGTTTAATCGATTAATTATCGTTTTTAATTAATCGACCTTTCATTGACATATTTTTACTATAACTCTGACAAAGAATGTTGAACAACTTAGTCTAATTAGCCTCTATTAATCAAATAAAAAAAAATTAAAAATTTCAAAATAATAGAAAAAACAAAACACATAGAAATATGTGCTAGAAGAACTGAGTGTGTTCAATAAATTATGTTTCTGTTATTAAATCATCTTTCAAATTTTGAGATAGTTCAGTATGATGTATATTACCTAATTTTAACACAAAATAAATCATCACACATGTATTTTTACAAATGTCAATTTTACTACATTTTTTTAAACATCTTCCATTTCCATTAATAGTTCATGCGATCTTCGATAAATCCTCAAAAAAGAATTTTTATTCATTCATTCAAAACTCGTATAATTATTGAAAAATATCTGGTATTTCAGCGTTATTCGTATATAAATTACATACACATTGTATAGACTCCACATAAACTACATCCCATCCAAAAGTCAAAAATATTTGTGCATCATTTTAAAGCAGTTTAGAAGATCACTATGTTCACATGAAATTGATTTAAAATAACATAACAAACACTACAATTATCTTTTCTCCAATGTTTAATTTGTTGAACTGATAGTAACACATAACGATCAATAAATATTCTTCTTGATGATAATAAGTTCAAAAATAAATGTCAGGTATGAATTGACATTTATTGACTTTATCCTACCAGTTTTGTTCAAAATTTTAGGAACAGATGTAATGTGTACGAGAGTTTTACTTTCAAAATGGTGACCGTTCGACATCTTTTATAATCTTTTTCATTACATTCTTTATTGCAATTTCATTGCTTTGATTTTCAGATTTTGACCATAAAACAAATTTCATCGTATAATAAATAATAATAAATTCACCTGAAACATCTAAATCGAATGAACCTGTCAGCAATAGATATTATTCAAATGATCGTACCAAAAAAATAAACGGTTACATATCGATATATTTCGACTATAATGAAAGTCATTATTGAATGTAGTAGAAGTCATCATTTTATGGTCTAGAATAAAACATAAATAAAACTGAAAACGTTAGTTCAGATTAGATTATATTAAGTGGAAATTAAAACGATTTTCAAAAGAATAATCAAGAATATATTTCTATTTATTGACAAGCTAAAAATAATTATACTTGCTACTAAATTACACCCACTGAACTTTAAAGTAATTTTCAAGAACATTGTTTTATCTAAGAAATTATTCAGTATCAAAACATATGCAAACTTTTTTCGTACAGCAATGTATTTGTACTATTCGATATTCACGTCATCCTTTCAACCACGTTATAAGATAGAGTTTGCAAAAGTGTGAAACAAACCGACAGTAAAATTTTCTTACAATGTTACAATGAAAAAAGTCCATTTCAAAAGTTTAAGAGAAAGACTAGTTCGTCTGATGTAATTCGAAAATGTATCATTCTTCTTTTCGAAATATAGTGATAATTGAAGTTATGTTAATCATTTCTCCAATTAGAAGATGGGCATAGTCGATATGTTCAATCCATAATTATCCTGCACCCGCCTACTTAGATGTATTCATTCAGCTGTCTTGGATGCGACTGATCAGTTTCATATAAGGATGCAATTAACTTCCATCAAATCTAACCTTTCTCTCTCATTTTGGACAGTAACAATCGTGCAAAACATATTTCGAAGGCGACAGTTTTATATATTATGCAATATCAGACATGACTATATTTTTAAAATAGATCCATTATTATATATCTAAGCTAAACAAATTGTTTATTTACAATAAGCAAACACATATATTAAAAAAAATAAAAGAACTATACTTGTTTTATTTTTTATCACAGCAAATTTCTCAAATCAGAAAATAGTAAACAGAAGAAGAATGAAGTTTATATAGAATAAATAAAAAAAAGTATTTTTGTATGAACAATTGTAAACATAGACAATAGTAGATTATGTTAAATACAAAAAAAATAGATAAATATATTAGTACATGGAACAGTTTGATCATTCGTTTTTATGTTGTCCGATTACAATAATGTTTAATTTAAATTATTTAATAAAGGCATCCGATGGAATTTTATTCTAAAATAAACAACATGAGAGTCAAGATGAATGAGAACAGATATGGGACAGTTTCAGTTCCGAACTGATGGAAAGAATTGATTAGCCGTTCTTGTTCTAAGAACGGGAACTGCTGAACATTCTTTTGAAAAGAACTGGAAAGCAGTTCACGTTCAAAAGAACGGATCTAGAACTGTTTCACTCCTAAATGAGAATGTGTTTTTGTGAAGTAAAATGTAGAAACAGGAAATATAATCACATTTCGGTAGTCTACTATTGAAAATTATCGAATTCGATAATAGAGATTTAATACTATTAAGTTTAAGAACAAATAGGCATTAACTGTTTCTTCTTAAAAGAATCGAACCTACCTCACTCTGGAATTGTATAAATACTTGTGCTGCTTTGTTAAAATCCCAGTTATTTTGTTCCAAACATCTATATTTAGATAAATAAATAGATAAAAATAAAGTTCTACGAGGTATTTACGTACAGTTTTGAGTACTGCTGATTCATTCCAGATTCTGTTGAAAATTTTAATATCATTTGTTGACGATCTTGATTCTGATCTTCAATTAATTGTTGTTGTTGTTCATCAGACGACATACTGTGAGATAATTGAATCGATGAAGACTGTAACGTTTGTGTGGGTAGTAATAAATCAGATTTATTCATTTTCTATTTAAGAGAAAATGATAACAAACTTATCAAATACTTCTTTCCTATTACTAGTGGTACTTACCATGACTTGATCGTTTGTGGCATTTACCACGAGCAAATGATCACATATAATAAGAGAACTAGAAAAAGAAAATTTGCACATACAGCACAGAAACAATAAACTGAATAACGTAATATAAGGAGTGATCTCGAAAAATATCGTATTAACAACGTAAGAATGTTACTCAACCAGAGGTGGGTAAGTCCAAGTTCGGGGTTGAACCATTCACCGATGACTTGAATCCCAATGGACTTGGACTTGACTTGAACTCAAAGGTTTTTCCAAATTCGTTTGAAGCTTAAGTACGATCTGTGATATTCAAGAGCGAAGTCAGTGGGATCTTATACGTATTTGGGCGTGTTTTCTCATGAAGTGTATTTTTTATGAGATCACATAGAACTGCAATGTTAAAAGATACATTTTCACAGTTAACATTGTTAAAATGTAATTTTAGTTTAATTTCGGAATATTTTTGTTTTTCATTTGTTGGTTTTGTCCTTGTTCTCATTCATATTTGATGTTTTAACCGTATTTTTAATAATCAGGCACAGACTATTGTTATCCAAGCAAAAAGTTTTCTCTCAGACTTTGATCTGGATATGGTTAGACATGCCCATCTCTGTGCTCAAGTGTGTATGATATGAAGGAGCTGTCTGCATCTTCATCCTGCTGGTAATCCTATACAGTATTATTACTGAGCCCAAAATCAACCAGCATAAAAGAGAATAAAACAAAAATGTCACATACCGATTCAAGCTATGAACCATTGTCAATGTTTGTTGAAAACAACGTATCGGTTGTCCAACGCTGTCAACTAGCAAAAATAAAAGTAAATAAATATGAATAATGTGCTAAGACACATAATTAAAATAGACAATAGACTCTCGATCAATTAAACAACAAGATATTAGCCGAACATAGAGTAAACAAAAGACTTTAACTTACTTTCTTGATATAATCCATTGATTGTAAATATAGATCTTGATTTCTAAACAAAGAAAGAATCAAATTCTACATTTATCTCTTCCATTTACACAACTCAACAATAAAAATAAACTGAATAATAGAGTGTATACTAAAGATGTCTAAGACTGTACTTCAAAAAAAAAAAATTGTGTTTTTACCGATGAAGAAATAATATCAACATGAAATGAACTTAGATCATGTTTTGTTGCGGGAAATTTTATTCTTAAATAATCGAGTACGGCTTGTTTTCCAAATTTTAATAGTTCCATATGTCGAGCATATTTTGACGATTTTATAGATCGTATAGATATGTCATCGTTACATTTTAAATTTCGACTGTCGCATATTTGTTGACCATATGTATATTGACATGTTTGTATTCCACAATCGTAAGATGGTCTTGAGATGCACAATGAAAATATACATTTTTCATGATAACATGAATGTAAATCTTCACGAGAACGTGTATCAAACAATCGATAATATTCTTGAATCAGACTCAAGATACCATCAAAAGAAGTTTTTAGATGATCGGGTACATAATATGGTTTGCTTTCCGGTAATTGAATGATATTAATATCAGTGGCAAAATGAATTATAGCCGATAATTCATTATCGTCCTGAAACAAGGAAAGCAAAGTAGAATAATTGAGAAAATTTCTGGGGGCTGTGATTTTCAAAATTATGATTTTTGGAAAAATCTGATGATTTTTTTGGGAAAGATTATCAGATATTTAGATTGGTCTCCAAAAGTGAAGAAAACAAATCGACATATAATCATGGCGAAAGAAAAACAGAAAAGCTTGCTTTTCTAGCATATATTCAAAATGTGTATTTTTCTGAGAAGGTTACTTTTTTCCAGTACAAATTGAAAATATGCATTTTTCTGAAAATGAGGAAAATAGAAGGCGAAGGGAGTGGGAGTGGAGAGATGAGGTGAGCCCCTCCTTGATATTCGCCACCGTGGAAGAAAACAGGAAGATACCTGAATATCTGAACATCTAGATATTATGTAATTGGAGATGTTCACAAATCAGATCGGTCTCGTTTCGCTGTATTCCACAAGTATCTAAAAGCGTACGAGTTTTGACAAAAAAATAGCTTCTCGATCACAGTGAATACTTTAGTTTGAAAAAATGACTACTATCTGACAAAATAACATACTAGTTGTTTTTATTAAATATTCAAATATGACTTACCAAATATTTTAATTGTGGTAGTATTTGCCGTACAGCACTAAAATATAATGTCCAAACAAATGCAACTGAGATATTCAAGAAACTTTAGAAAAAAAAATTAAAACAACAACATGATCGTAAACAGCGAACAACACAAAACAGTGAAAAAAAAACCATGCGGCTTGTTTTCATTCAATAATAAATACACGCAACTCGTCTATTTTTACATGTTTCTTAAACTTTTTTCTCTCTAGACTGTTTATACATGATTGTGTCGCGTACTGATTAATGAGCACATTTCACAATTAAAAATAGTGAAAAAACAACATAAAATAAAAAATAATTGATGGTCCTGAAATAATTCTTTTTTCAAAAAGAAGACTTTGTTTTGATGTTTTTTCCTATAAAAAGATATTTTTAGTCTTATAAAAAACTGTTTGTGTATTGTGTGAGAAACCAATAATTGTGTTTGATTAATGGTTCCCAGAAAAATCGATGGAAAAAAGATAATGTCGATCATACATGATAATAATGCTGTTACATTATAATAATATTATATCATAAAATATATACTTGATAATAATGAAAGTTGTTATATGAATGTATTTATATTGTACAATTCATTGCCTTGATAATTGAAATGATGATTAGTGAAAAAATGATGTAGAAGATGTAAAAAGATAAATCCATTTTCATCTGGAGCTGTTTGAACTCATTGTGGTAAGTTTTCATGTTAGAAAAAAAAATGGAACTACTACAAAAAAATTCGCTATAACGACTTCTTTTCTTGTTTACAATGCATTTGTTCAGTCATACTATTTTTTGTTGCTTGTTACTTTTACAAATCACTCATATTGGCTCATATAACAGGACTATTTATTAATCATCTTAATTTCTAATTAACAAACTGCTCTGCGCCTTAATCTAACATACACAATCACAAATATTCGTCTTGTGCTGCTTGATCTTAGTGATAGACGAATGGAAACACGAATTCACAATTTTCTCATCAAGAAGTGCTCTTCGATATAGTAACCATTCCTTGTACGTTAATAAAAAAACAAAATTTTGAGAAAGATGTTGGGTTCAATCCCACCTGATTAAATTGGTATCGCTTTTTAATGATTGTTGAATCGAATTTTCTTTCAAATGTAAATTTGATAATGAATGGAAACTTTTCAAATACTTTAGTTCATCAATATCATCAAGCTAAATATAAAATAAACAGATATTTAGTGTGCTAAAATCCTTTTTGTATACGTTTCTTAACGTGAACCAGCATTGATGCTTTACATACTTTGTTCAATGATAAATTTAAGTGCTCAAGATGGGGCAATTTCAAATTTTGAAATTCATTTAGATTTGTTATATCATTATGACTTAAATCCAAGAAACGTGTCTAAAATAGACCAAAATTTGTTTGTGTACGGTAGTTATAATATCAGACAAGAGTTCTAGAGCCATACCATAGACATCTCTTTATTGATTATATTGACAAGATCTTGTACAAATTGTTGTTTACTCAATTGTGGATAGATCCCAAGGTTATTCAAAGCTAAAATGGGCATACACAATAAATATCAAGGTTATCCACTCTTATATTGAAGTTATACCCTCATCATTGGCTAGATTAGATAAATTCAATGTGTTTGTGTTAATATTAAATCGTGTACGGATAAAATCCTACAAAAGCAAGTAACAATAAAAAAAAAAGATGTCCTAAAAAAACGATGTGTTTGTATTTGAAAAGAGGAATTTTATCAGAGGATTAATCTCACAACTCCCTTCATAAAATATAAATGTGTGATTCGCTAAAGCAGAGTTTAACATACTTTTAATCCCTTAAAGAGTATAAGTTCACGGTACATATGAGATAAATGGAAAAGTTTGCGTAGTTTGTCTCTCAAGTCACCGGGTTGCCTAATCTCTTTTCTTCTTCCTTAAACAATTTCTTTGCTAGCCACTACTATTGACTAGTTTTATAAAATTCAGTAGAATGAATTAACAAACTATAAGTGACTCACAAAAGACGAAGTTTATCTGCTTAGAATAAGAATGTAGAGATGTAATAGTTCAAGATCGTATTATCCAACATACTCGAAAATGACATATTAAATCTTCATCCAAATACGGTGCTGGAAATTTTATAGGACCAACAATAATAATTAGCTAAAGGTATGAAAACGTCTGATAACATTTGCATTCAGTGAAAGCCTATTTTAACTTACTGTTTCAGAATTTTGAATAAGTATTTTCCCGCTCGCTCGTTTAAGCATATCAGCTTCTTCTTTACTATTGACAAAAAATATGCCTTTATTTGTATCTCGTTCAATAAAATACTGGAAAGAGAACGTACACATTTATCATACTAAAACTTAAACGTTGAATTACGCGCTTACGTTATAATGCTGAAAAGGTCTTGGTAAATGTACTTTTAATGTTGACAATACTCGATCTTTTCCAACTTGTCCAGCTCCTGGTATTGATATTTTCCACCACTTCGTAAGATAGTGTTGTTGCTGTTGTTGTTGTGACTGATATTTATGAGGATAAGATTGACCATTCGGCCTTGGTCTACCACGACTGTTATTGAAGACTCTCATATGCCCACGGTATTGTTGACTTCCATTAGTTTGAAAATTTTGTCTGTTACCATTCATTAAACCATCTGGACGATACCGCACGTCTGTACCATACGAACTGTTACGTCCACGATAATGAAAATTTTGATGTGTATAACGATGTTTCGACGACGACATTTCATCAACATGACGAGGATAACCACCATCACCACAATTCTGATTATAATAAGTCATCACAAGTTTAGATGAACAAATTTCTTTAAATCTGAGAAAACCAGAAATGCCGTATGAAATCAGAAAGTCAAAATGAATTACTATTCCTCAAACTTTATTGTCTGTACAAAAAAACGAATCATAAATATTGGCCATTATCGGAATTTGAACTGTATCAGAAGCAGAGTGTACGCGGTTAAAAACGTATGAAGTCAAAAACTTAACCAAGCGGCTATTCAGATTCATCGCAGGCAAAACGTTGAGATACCTGTTTATAAATCGAAACTGTTTTCCCATTATTACAATCAAAAAACTATCTAGGACGCATAAAATATACAATTAAATGGGTTTTTTCCTTTTTTCTACTCTGAGTCATGTCATTAGTTTTCGTTTTTATCACATTATGACTCATCAGTATGATTTCTCAATAAAGTTAATAACAGCGGTACTTCCGTCCAATAGAAGACCGACTTTATAAATAGAAGATATTCTACAAATAAAACTTTGAGCAGCGTGGCTCAGTCGGCTAGTGGGTAGACAACGTACTTCAAAGATTTGAATCTCGGCAACGACGGTCGCGTGATAGTGTGTCTAATGCTCATTGTCTCGGTACCTTTGGGCACAGATGCAATGAGGTAACCCGATTTCAGTAGCGATTGGACTGGAGAGATGAGAGTTAAAGTTTAAAAAAAAATAAAATAAAACTTCTACAACCAAGCGTTACTTTCTATTAGTTTCACGTTAATGTGAAACAATGTATATAGAGATACACATTTATTTCTATATATGACTTATACGACAGACATGTGTTTGATCGGAGATATCTGCACTTTTCTTCTCATTTTAAACGAGACGAAAAGCAGTGTGTATTATATAAGACACTTATTTACTTGAGCTTTTTCCAGTTTATACCTTTTTTAAGGTTTTCAAAGTGGAATTAAATAACTAATTCACAGGGTGAGTACACAGCAGTTCCAGCGAGTGAGAGAACGAGATCACATAAATCCTTGCTAGTTTACTGGGGGTCGTATCACGAAAAAATTTAAGTCAAAGTCTAGACTTAAGTGTATAAAATTAGCATGTAAGGGGACATAACGAAGACTTAAGTTTTTTTGTGACATCACAAAAATCGCACAGTTGAGATTTTTCTTCATGCATTTTGGGTATCCAAAGTAGATCTTGTTTTTCAAAAAATGCATAAAATCTAAGGACTTTTACTATGTATAGACTGAATCGATGTTTACTGTAGAGAGATTCACCTTGATTGCATTATGTTCCTGAACAGAGATCCGGGTAAAACATGATGAAATCAGTGTCTCAACTACCTTAAGAAACACTTTCTTTTTAAGAGATCCTTTCATATTAAAACTTTTTGCTTTTTATTCTCTTTTTATATATAAATCGTTACATAAGAATTCATCGACGTTAAGATAAATTATTTGGTGAATTTTTGTTCCTGTGTAGGAGTTGAATGTCATGATCTTCAGTTTAAAAGAAAGTTAATGGTATTGCTGTTGCTCGTTTGATTGAATTTGCCATAGTGAATTCGTAATACAATAACGTCTTGCTCATATCCACACATTGTACAACATTATCCGTAACACCCCATGTAAACTCACTTTTGTCCTTTTCTAGCATACATATCTCACAATGACATAGGAGTTGAATTTGTACAGTTGACACGAACTACGTCGAATTCAATTTTCTAATAGAGGAATAAAAAACACAGTTAATTCCTCAGTTTACTAACATTTTATAAAACACAAAAAGATACCTATAATTAGTGTTACAAGTTTTTTGTCAAATGAGTGTGGCATATTCTATGTTTAATTTACATTGATAAATTTACATTCATCACGCTTTAGGAAGTTGATTTTTCTCCGAAACTTTGACTTCGCGATAAATACAGTGCTCCAAAAAAGTTTAGAGCCTTTTGTTTTTCGTTTATTTTTCAAACGCATTGTTATAGAATCTTGGTTCAAATGGTGATATATATACTTTGAGCAATGCTCTACAAGATGTATGATTCAGAAAATCATTCCGGTGCTTTTAGGATTTTTAAAAATTTAAACACGTTTTTTAGCAAAAATACAGGTTTTCTGGTTTCTCGCATTTCGCGTTTCCTAACCAAGAGATTTTCGTCAAAAATTTTTGAATACATATAGTTCGATAGAGAATTTAAAGTGCTATTTTTTGGTAAAAAAATATTGGACTTTATCTTGGGTCTTGATATTCAAATACTGGGTGTAAAGGACTTGACCGTGGAAAACCGAGAAACGACGGTTTTCTCCGTCAATTTAAACTCTATCGAAATGCGGTTTTCAGCAAAAAACACTCGATCCTTTTTGTCGCAACGTCTCGGAGGAAAAAAAATCAAAAACCTTTAGCCAAAACAAGATGACTCATCTTTTCTTAGCGTATTTTCGCTCTTTTTAGTATTTCACTTATAACTCCGTCTAGCAATGAGATAGGAAGTCGGGGAATGTTTCATTTTGATCAGAATTCAATGGAAAATACGACCTTGTTATTCAGATGTTGAAAAGGCGAAGTACTGATTTTGAACGTCGCTGTTTTATCATAGTAAAGAACAGCGTGTTTATTTTTTTTTCCCTTCCTTTCGTGTCTACTACAATCACTCTGAATCAGTTTTGATGAAAAATTATTTGAAAAACCCAAACTGAGCAGATTTTCCAGAACTTTCTTTCAAAAACTTTAGCGTCTAGTTTCACGTTTCTCAAAATTCTAAATCGGCTGTTTTGTGCAGTTTTTCACGCTGAATTTTTT